ACATTCTTGTTATGGTCCCCCAGCAGTGCACCACTAGCAAAGAATGACTGATATATATATATATATATATATATATATATATATATATATATATATATATATATATATATATATATATATATAATATGCAATATTTTTTTCCAAAAAAAAAAATTCATCAGTTTTCTTCTTATTTTGCTGACTGATGAATGAAAATAAGGATTACAGTTGCGTTTTTTTAACTTTCAGTTATCTCTTTGATGTCATTGTGATATCAGTTCATTAATGCAATTTGCCAAAGAAGCAAACAAAAACACATTGCCTCTTCTACATGTATGTCATACGACAACCATTAAAAGAGATATTTTGGATCTCCATATTTTCCAAATTATTGCTGTAAAAGAGTAACACGCTCCACAAATTAAAGGGCCCTCATGTCAGTGACTAGTCACAGTAACGGCCGCTGTTACGCCTGACCTCTACTGGTTGCTACCAGCGCTCTCAAGAGGCAATGCATTCTTTGGGATAGGTTTTTAGAGTTCAATCTGTAATAACATTCCAGGCATCGATCAAAATCTGTCCAATTAGGTCCAGTTTTGTTGTAGGACATGTAGGCCATTGGTTTGGCTGGTAATGGCCTATCCATATATTGTCTATGTGGTTCAAATATGGCGATTTTGATGACCAAGGTAGCAGCTCATTCCCATGGTTCTGTAAGTAATATGCTATTAAAAGCGCCCTCTGTGAACCGGAAATCTCACCATGCAACCTAAAATTGTTCCTAAGTTGCCCCCTATCAAATGGTAGTCAAGTGGTTCCCAGATTATTCCTTCATTTGATCTGGTTCAGGTTTACGCCGATGACTACCATTAGTGTTTGGGCACCAATGTGATATCCACCCCAAATACTGACGCTGTTAATGACCTTAGTCATTTTAGACGCAGCACACGCTAGTCATTTTAGACGCAGCACACTGTTTACAGTGGGTTCCTCGGAGGTCGTCTGGTATTTTAACCTGCTAGAACCAGTTTGGTGTTCGCTAAGGGCCTTGAAAAATGCGTTTTGGTGGCAATTTACCACTCATTCTGAATGGACTGGGTGGTTTTTGTTTAGTTGCAACAGCATATCCCAAAAGACAGTGGGCCCTGTACTCTGGTGGTAATATTTCAATACATTGGGTGTTGCCTCTGTGTAGGTACATCAGTCTGGGAATTACTTTATAAAACTGTGCGGACCGTTTCGTTTGGCGCAATTATCTGCCTGGCAATGTCTGTCTTTTTGGTGCCATTCTGCCACAGATTAACGAATTTGTAAAGGACTGCATTGCTCATTTTACACACGGCAAAACCGACCACTTGCATGCAAAATTCCAAAATTTCTATGCAGTAGTTGCCGACATATGGATTTTTGACAGAACCATGCTTTGCCAAAGCCAAGCTTTGACCTACCCAAAGGAGCACTACCAAATTAAATCACTGCATATTACATGATACAGCAGCGCAACAAACCTGGTATTCAGTTAATTGGTAGCGACACACCTGACTACACAGTTTTCCATTCACATATCTTATATTAGATCGGAGGTTTTTTTTAAAAAGAACGCATTTTTACCTAGGCATACCTTCAAAACTGAAATATTCCATATTAAATGGCAAGTCTTTATATATATATATATATATATATATATATATATATATATATATATATATATATATATATATATATATACGAAAATAGTGCAACACAGTGCTCTTCCCTTGTCTATTGTCCTGATTGTAAATTAATACGTTATAGTGGTGTTTTCATATTTTTCAGGTGTCAATTTTGTTCTGACCCAGCAAAAAGATGTCAGTTTTGACGCTGTGGCTGTAAGTGTCAATAACAGCAAGAGAACGATCGCGAACACGCAGATCTATGAGTTTTCAAATCCCTCCAACCTTGGAAATAGCATACAACCCCTAGTGACAACAATGGTCAACCGTAGTCAGCGGTTCCTTCTTCGAGAAAAGCAAATCCTTCTCATTGGCGGAGGAAAAAATAAAAAGTTTGTTTGGGAGGCTGCCAAGAATTACCTTGTTAAGGTAAATGATTTCAACAGGGGATATACAAATTCATCATCCATTTATTTTATCTATAATTATACTTATCATTTATTTATTTATTCATTTATTTATTTATTACATAAATATACCTTTTTGTTTGCCAATTGAAGAATGATATCCATTTTAACTGATTTGTTCAGTTTACTTAAAATTTACATTTGTATCAGAACTATTTGTAAGGCTATTTGAAAAGTGCCAGAGCACTCATTAAAGGGAGTTTTTAATGTGAATTATATTTGTATGTGCGTGTTTTTCATCCATTTTAGATAATTTTGATTGACCCGGATCATAATCACAGTGCAGCCACCAGTGTATACAAGTTTATCCAATGTGATATAGAAGACCACAGCCGCGATGAAGAAAATGCAGAGAAAATTGTCCACCTACTGCGCACACAAGGCCTAGCCGTAGACGGATGCATGACAGTTATTGACGAATACGTTCCTCTGACGGCTTTGTTGTGCGAAGCACTATGTCTGCTTGGTAATAGGCCCGAAGCTTCAAGAAAGACTAAGAAAAAAAGTCTTACCCAAAATGTTTTAGTGGAATCTGCAATCAGGAGCTCTCCTCTGCCAAACCCTAAACTGAATGCAGTCACGATACACGAAATTGTCCAACCCGAAGATGTGAAGGGATCATCAAATATTCTTCAGTATCCGGCAATTTTGAAGCCAGAATACGGGTCAAGTTCTCTTGGAGTATACCTTGTCAAAGACGAGACAGAATGTCTGAAGTCCTTCAACACCGTTCAGAAAACCTTAAAAGCTAAGGATGAAAAGGCGTTAGCATTTGGATACGGCAACGAAATGCTCCTAGCTGAGTATGCACTGGGAACTAAGCATGGAGTCGATATCGTCATGTTTCGAGGAATGATTTTAGCGGCATTCATCTCTGATTGTGGACCTACCCGCTTTCCTCGCTTTTTGGAGACTTCATCATGTATGCCAACAAGTTTAACCCTTGACAAGCAACGACAGCTGGTAACGGCCACACAGCAGTGTGTTAGAGCAGTTGGTCTCACTGATGGTGTGTATGATATTGAGTTTAAAATGACACCCATGGGGCCAAAACTGATTGAGATCAACGGAAGAATGGCAGGATACAATCATAGGGACTGGATACTCGCCGTCTTTGATACAGATATCCTTTTCCTTAATTTCTTAATTGCATGTGGGATATTACCCAGCGTCCGGCCATTGGAGCCAAGGTGCCAGCTGATAGGGGTCATGTGTACCACAACAGCCCACGCCAAGGCACTATCGCGGCCGGGCATTGCTACACTGGAGATTCTAGCCGAGGCTCATGAAGAAGGAGAAATACTTTTCTTTCCAAGGGAGTCCAAGTTGAAAGAAAATGAGCCCTTTGAGAACCTGTTATGCCAGGTAGTTGTTAAGGCGGCGTCTATCAATGAGGGGAAGGAAAAGCTGTTAGCTGTTTGCAGGAAATATGGGATAGACAACCAACAGTATCCAGTGGAGCGCTTTCTGTCCCCTTTCCTGGAGTTGTCCCGGCAATGAAAGGCGACGACGCAGCTGTAGGGAATACAGGAATGTGCTTTTATGACACAATTTGACAGTTGACAGTTTTCATTTTATGGCATTGGTAAAATCCATTCCATGGTAATTGGATTTCATTCTTCTATTTAATTCTATTCACCCTATTTTTAAACGGTAATTTTAGTATTGTTTCTTATATATATTAAGCGAAATAGAGGACTCTTAACTGTGTAAAGGGAGAGACATCTCTAGTACTGATAATGACTTGTTTATATATTTAATCATTTTGTGTATTTATTTGTGCTGAGACAGGATTGTTCTTCAAAATGAAAAGAAGGAAAACTGGCATTAGATAAACTTTTCAGCTTTTGCTTTCCTCGTGCTTGTGCTGCACAAATGAAAATGCATCGATGTCTGTTTTCATTATTTTAATGGGGAGCATATATATATATGAAAGTTCATAAATGTTGTGGTTACTAATAAATTTTCATAAAAGTAAACAAAGTTTTGTCGTTTTATTTGAATTTAATTGAAATTTTTTTTCAAAGGTCAAATCTAAATCAGTTTAAAATCTCAAAATATAATTATCTATTCAGTTCCCGTCATAGCACTTTTTCGAGCACGTAGTGATGTGCAAATAATTTTACGCATATCGCCTAATTCTATGAAGCTTGGCAATATTTTTCATACTGAAGATTTAAAAGGTTAATATCATCTTTTAAATTAATTTACAAACTAAAAAGGAATTGTCATGATTAATATTGCCACGAGCTATAACTGACTGATAACTTGAGACCACTGTGTCGTAAAAAAAATTTCCACAATTTATAACCTGGCTTGTTATCCACTAGGACCCCCCCCCCCCAAACTTGGGCTCTCCGGACAAGACCGATTCTGCTTGAGATCAAGAGACCGGTGAGCGTGTTTCCAAATTTCTGCAATACGCTAGCTAGATGTTCTCAGGAGAAACAGATACAATGACTTATGTTCACAAACTTCGTGATTTCTTTGTTGGTTTATATTTATCCAACACAATGATACCATATGGCGTTTTCAGATTCCGCACAAATTAGATTTTTTATATATGTGGAATACGACTCAATGGCTAACATACACCAGAATACTTTTATTCATCTGAATAAAAATTCGACTGAATCACAAACAATGAATAATATTTCTAAACCTTTAAATAAATATTTCATTCTTTTTAACACGTATATCACATGTACATATATACACACGCCGTGTGAAGCTTCAGAAAAAAAGTGAGAAAATGCATTGCACTCTCTCTCTCTCTCTCTCTCTCTCACTCTTTCTCTCATCACGCTTAGCTCATTTTCAGTTTAAAAAACGTATGTGGGCTGTGTTCATACAAGTTCCTTTCTCGGAGTCTGATTGCTGTCAGTCGAACTAAACGAGTTATTCAAACCTCCATCTGCCATCAATTTTGGACCAAAGAAGTCCACGTGTGTACTTAAATCACTGTAACCGTCGTTATTGTCATCACATGAACTCGGCCCTGTCCCGCCTGGTCGTGATATATCTGGCAAGATATTCCACTCCAGTGGGGAGGAAAAGTTGACTGGGTTTGTCTCAGATCTCTGTTCATAATCTTCACACTTCCTGAGCTGTGTATCAAGCTCGTTGTACGTCCCAGGTAATCTTACATCAGAGACTACAGATTCTGTGTCAGATAAGCAACATCGAGTATTGAGATACGGGTTCGTCACATATCGATCCTTTAGTGACGATGGGTAATTGGGAAAGAGCATTGGACCCGCTTTTGCACAGTGCAGTGGCGTTTTAATAGATGCCGTTTTTGGACGCACGGATTGTTCTAAACGCTCGGCCACAGTAGGTTTTGATCGTTTTGCTTTCTTGTCGCTTGTTTTTGGCGCCGACTCCTGTTTGGACTTGGTGACGTGCACAGTTGTGCCGATAGCCTCGACCTCAGAAGTGTGTGTTTGATGGTACGTTACTGAGGGATTGGCCTCTGTGACTTGAGGTAAACTTGACGTTTTAGACTCTTTCGAATAATTTTCATTCGCACTGTTTTCAGCAAGTTCTGTAGAATATAAGAAAATATTTTTGAAACACAAACATAATATAAAAAAGGTAATTGAATGAATATACAAACAAATGAACGCTTCAAATGGGTGAACAAATCATATTATATATTGCACTTTTGTTAATATATAATTCCTTTTATTGATATTTTAGTAGATATTGCGAAACAAAATAGGAGTTAACACGTCTGTATATATAGTGCTAAGGATCAACTAACGTACTTTTGGGCAACTTCTGTCCTGTTCGGTTCGCGACAAATTCCTCTGTGAACGGCAGAAGCGCTATCTCTTCATTATTTGGATTGCAGTCAGCCTTGCCACGTCTGATAAGAGGAGCACCCACATTTCGCATTGCCATGGCAGGCAACGTATATCCTGAAAGAGAGGTCAGTGATTATTAGAGGTCAAGAAGACAATCGATTACGAAGTGCACCCCGCAAAAAGATTCATTATTCAAATGGCTCATACTTTAGATAGTCCATATCATCACTATTAAAATCTGCTTGACATTTATATCTTTTTTTATTCGTGCACCTCGGTGACAATTTTTATTCAACACACACAACGCAATTCAATGCTGCTTACAGATTTCCTTACAGAGGTTTACAGACAATACATCACGTTGTGATAAGTAGAAAAATATACTTACACAAAACACTGCATAATGACACTGACGCTCACGCACACACATTGATATTTAATATGTATGCTTAATGTATTGAAAGCAATATTAATGCACAATAAACCTTGCTTTCTGTGCTACTCAAGACAATTTTCCCACTGTCGTAAGTTGAAACACGTTTAATAGTCATAGCGTAAATATGGTGTAAGTATGGTTAGGAAAATCACCACAAAAACAGAAAAAATAAATACATCCTTAATTTTTTAGGTTATTTCATATTTCTAAGACGGGTCTATACATTAAGAAGATGTATTCGTAGAGTCTTATTATACCTGTCCGTGCTGCCATGTCTTCTTTACTGCAACCATTCTGTAAGTTGACCAGTGATAACGCATTTTTCTGTAATTTGGGTGGTAGCCTACTGAATTCCTTCGCTTCTATTTTCTCTGAAAATGAAATTTAAAAAAGTGAATTATTTCATGTGCTCTTTATAACCGTTATCAAAGGTCTTCGAGGAGTATATTAAGCACTTTGTGTTCAGAGGAATACCATGTACATTCAAACTATCGAAAAGTTAAATCTCAAAACATTCAGTTATTAATTACAGGTAACCACAGCGCCACCCAATCGGAGCAGAATGACTAAAAATGAACATTTCCATTAAATATGACTGTACAATTGTGTTGCCTGGTATCTGTTTGAAAAGGAGAATAAATTCCGTTATACCCGCTCTCTCGTCGTCGGTGAGACCCTCTTCTCCTAATGACCGCAGTCTATCTTCCCTAAGAACTTCTAGCAATCCACCTGCTTTGTACAAATGTTCACTGCCATTCAACTCGGTCCCTTAAAGAAAATAAGGAAAGAGACAGATCACATTTAAGGCAGGTGAAAATGGTTGCGTTTGTGCTATAGCGGGCGCTTGGTTCAATTTTTGAATATCTGGTTGGGGTAGGAAAGATGATCACCATTTATTAGGTTTGCTAGATATGAAAATAACTGTCATAACAGGTGAAGAAACAACAATAATTAATATTATGTGTGATGTAGAAATTAAAGCAAATCAAAGGGCAAAAGTAATGTAATGTCAAATTTGAGTCATTTTCGGGAAGAAATTAACCCATAAGTTATTTCATTAAAGTGAATGGAAATGAAAAATAATGTTTTAGATTATTTCTAGTAAATAAGTCTATATTTAAGGGATATTATAATATTTAGACAGAGGCCTGAAAATCATTCAAATTTGACCGCATGTGAACTTTGACCTACTTTAAAGCTAGATTGCACAATAACATTTTTGTTACTTTACCTATTAGAACAATTTTTCAGCTAAATAAATGAGCCTAACTTCTATTCATACCTTCATGTAGCAAACCTATTAAATGGTGAGTATTTTCCTCCCATATCCCCTAATTCAAAAACACTTCAAGTATTTGTGATCCATAAATGTCTCATACTGTACAGTAAACTGTCAAATCTCATGAAATCTCTTTCATGAGGGCAGAAATTATCAGAAATTACCATGCCCTTAATATTGACTAACAGTCTCTTTAAAAATAACTTCACAAGTTTATTTTTCATAAAACTGCCTCAAATTTGACCTCAGGTGACCTCTGACGTCATTTGTTAACAGGTTACTCAATATTACGAAACTAACTTTACTTATTTCTTGAAAATGCATATATTGACGCAAAAGTGTTGCTTTATATCATATGTTTTCACTATATGGATGTTTATACTCTCATCTGTTAGGGTGTTACCGTATATAATGACAACTTACATAATAAAAGCTTCTGGTTTGAAAGTGCTACCACACATAATCTGACTTCTGGCTAAATTCATGAGATTCCATATGATACCAATGAACCTAAGTCACCCACTTCGACCCCTCTACCTGACAAACTAAACGGTGTGGATTGAACCATTATCGTAGCGTATTCGTCAATCAGAATAAATCCTGGTTCCAATTGTAAGGCTGTTTATTCAAAGTCTATTGTTGATTTTACGCATTTAATGCACTTATATGGCTGTGTTTATCCCAACGTGTATCTAGGTCAGTCGTCATATTTAACGGTTTGATCTCGCCAATAAGAGGACCCGTGCTAATTTGAAGATTGTACTTTTTAGTCATCCAATTATTATTATTATTATTATTATTATTATTATTATTATTATTATTATTATAACAAGACACATACAGTACTTACCTACAGCTATGATGTGTAGGGGCACGCCTTCACACTTTTCTACTAATTCCTCAAGTTGGTCATTTCTGAACTTGACAGAGTCGCACACCTCCTGAAGCAATGACCCTCCCTCTTCGGTGGTCAATCGGGACAACCGGACTGGGTGATAAACTCTGCCTAGGGAGGCAAAGTTAAAACTATGTCTTGATACCACTAATATCCATAGATTTTGGCATTTCTTGACTAGGTCTCCAATCAGATTCAGTAAAAATGTTTGGAGTGGCCTATCCTGATGCAGAAAGTCGGGATCGGCATCCGTAACCCCTTTGGCACCAGCTGTAAAGTCATTCTGAAGCTTGGACTCAGTAAAATTATTTTCATCAGCAACGACAACGTGCTCGCAGTTATCTATTAAGATGACGTATCTCTTGCACACCTTATTAAAATGGTTCTTTACATGCGCAGCCAAGTCGCACTTCCAGTTAAACTGCAACGCCTCGTCGAAAGGGTCATCAGAAGGGAACGTTGAAGGAAATTTCGTGGCTCGATTGAATCGTTCTTGAATCTGACGTAGAGAGCGAACTTCTGTGAGATCCACCCTCGCCACATAAAGCGGCACCATTTTGTCATTATCTGTTCGATCAATTTCGCAGTGGCTGGTTTTCCCAGGCGGCAGGCATCTTGCTACAGACCTCTCTTCCCTGTAGCGCTTGTCAACTTCTCGTACGACTCTCTCGGCAAATTCGGTCTTGCCGATGGCAGGTTGGCCGTAGATTCCAAATATGCGAAACTTTTCCCATCGATTCAAAACTTTGTCCATCTGCAATTCACGACCAACAAACGTGTACCCCAACTGTGTCATGGTTCCTCTCTATCCCTCTGCGCCAATTCTGAATTTTGGAATCAGTTAATCTGAACAATCTATATTTAGCTTACGCCAAAGTTCCCAGTTTCTATAGTGGCAGTTTCTGCATATGATTATGATTATTATGTAAAATTCATGAGTCATCGGAGATTGATCTAGGTCACTCTTTCTTATGGCCTACAAACAAATTAAATCAACCGGCTTTATCAACTTCTGACAGAGTTCCCTAAAAGTGTACACAAGCCATACGTCCATTGTGACATTGTTCACTCATTAAAGATAGGCCTATCTTTCATTTATTTCTGCATTACAATGCTGTACACTGATACACGCTATATATGCTATATGTAGCTCATGTAAACATGTTCTAATACTTTTCCAGTAGAATAGGCACTTGTAGACGGTAGTGTTGTTTCACAAAACACCACACTTCTCGCTCTATTCATGGTTTAAAATGCCAATCTATGTTAAGATCTGCAATGAATAAGCAGATTTCCCTAGCATTTCGCTATTTAGACTATTTAGGTCAATGCTGCATGTGTCCATTTATATGTGATAGGCTAGAGATAAATACATGCGCGTACCTGCAAGACACCAATGTCTGGGTTGGCACACTATACCCGTGCAGGAGCATTATCCACTCAGCACATTTTTCAATCACGTCAGTTTTTTCATAGTATATATTGTACGTACGTATATATTGTGCGTATGCACAAGGACCGAAACGAGGCTACAGGAAATTAACTCGCTAGCGCAGTTTTTTTTCTATATATCCATGTCTGCCCATTCCCCCAACACTCAATTAAAATAGGATCCCTATGTGACTGCCAGAAATTTTCGTGGGCACGTACAAGTACATTGCCCAATTTAGACATGGGTACATTTTCATATATTTCACCACTTAATGACAACACTATGTTGATACAGAATAGGCCTTTGCTGACTTGTGTATCATTTCAAAAGCTGTAAATAACATACTCTGTGGTATCCCAACTAAAAGATAATAATGCCAGTACCTCTGTACTTTGACATATGGGTGTGTTACGTTAAACAGCCCTAGTTCATAAAAGGACCAACTGCACGCACTCGCACTGCTGGTTCTTTTGTTGCAGAAAGGTCACATTTTCTTTGCATCACGTGTCAATAGTAAACAACATGGCGTTCAATTTAGAGCACCCTATTTTCTTCGGGCGAGAAAAGGAAATAAAGCTTATAACAGATTCTTGGACACAGCATCGGATATTTGGTATCTATGGCCCTCCCGGGATTGGTAAGGCAAGCTTAACGAGGGAGATTTTGAGACAGGTGTCTGCGAAGGCGTATAATGGTGACCTATGCACTACATTCTTGTCGATGCAAAGAGTAAACAGTGCAAAAGACTTCTTTAAGTACGTTGCTCTCGAATTATTAGAAGACAAAGTGCCTTTGCTTACCGGCGATTCCACCCCTGAGCTGCTGCAGCAACAAATCATTGAGCATTTAAAAAATATTGCTCCCTGTGTGTTGATTTTTGAAAAATGCGAACACATCGCCGTGTCAGAGGCAACCACGAGAAACGTCAGTCATGACCTGCAGAATGTGCTGCTCACGTTTGTTTTTGACGTCATAACCCAGTGCCCTGATGTGAGGGTCTTCATCGTTTCCCGCACCAAGTTTCAGTTCGCAAGACTGAATAGAGTATATTTTGAGCAGAGTTTAATGCCACTTTGTATTTCAGACGCAAAAGCGTTATTACTCGACACTTTTTCTCACTCCCATACAGAAAATGAAGGTCCATTTATAGATGAAAATACTTTGACCAAGCTTGCAGAACAATATGCAAGATTGCCTCTTGCTTTAATCATTGTAGGTAAGTCGAATTTATGCATTTTTCTTGCAAGTTATATCTTGCACAAAAAAGAAAGTGGATTTTTTAACTTTATTTATTTATTTATTGTGTTGAAAAAAAATTTGAGAATACCTCGAATTATTTAGGCATTAAGAGAGTGGAATTATTAATGCCTAATAAATTCGAGGTATTCTCAAGAAAAATTTTCAACACAATAAATAAATAAATAAATAAATAAATAAATAAATAAATAATGCCAATACAGTTTAAAAATCCATTTCTTTATTGTGCAATATATTACTTTCTAAACATTACCTATTTTTTATTAAATAATTTATTCATTTTGTTAAATGTTTTATTGAGAATGTTATACCTCAAATTTTCTAGGGAGCATTTTACGCGAAGGTAATCTGAGCCCAAGTGAAATGTTGGACCTCATGAAGGAAGAACGACTGAAAGCTCTCAGTGACGAGAGTTTTTCTGACTCTGAGAGAATAGGTAGGTTAACTTTGGGGAATGAATTAAATGCTCATGGTACAGATTTCCATATTTTTATACTGTGAAATAGTTTGACATTTAAACCAAGGTAGATATTGGATGACAAAAATGTGTTTAGAAAAATCTTTAAAAGCTTATATGGTTTTATTAAGTGATAACATGGGAATAATCACACGTCTAATTAAAATTAGTTAATTAACCAACTAATTAAAATGAAATTAAGACAATGTAAAAGTTGTCTTTATTTAGTTTATACATCCGATATATGTTTTTTCCTATTTTAGATAAAGTGATAAGAAATCACCTTGCCCGACTGACCGAAGTTTTTAGACAGCACTTGGCGGCCATAGGTTATATTCCTGGCCATTTCAGCAAAGAGGCTGTTGCTGCAGTTTTGGGTAAGGGTAGATAGATCTTGATGATTCTTTATGATTCTGTGTAATATACAGCCATCCGACAAAAAAGTAAGAAGACGACTTTTGAAATCATTTTTATGCCTGATGATAGTCTGTGCCACTGATGTAGCAAAAACCTGGGAGCTTGATTGTGCAGTTCTTTGTGTATAGTATTAATATCAGCTGTGTCATTTCGAAAGAACACATACCCAAATGAAATGATCTGATCTGACCGAAATAAGACAGAGTAAGATGAATGGTATAAAGAAAGATATATTACTAGCTGTCTTTGATGAAAACCTCTGTATAACAGATTACATGATGCATTTGGAGTGTATAAGAATGTGGTTCCTTCACTTTTCTCCTTTCTCATAGGAATCAAGCAAGAAACTGGTGGCGTTAAAGTTGTGAAAGAACTATCAAGAGTGTCCATTATACATGAAGAATCAGCAGGGTTAACCTTAGTACAGAGACAAAAGATTAGATACGACATCCACTCGTTGATGAGAGAATATGTGGAAAAGCATGTACGGATAAGGGAATTACCAGGTTAGTTTTGTTAAAGTATTAAAAGGTTTCTGAAACAGTTTGAGTACGCCATATGATGTCGATTTTATCTGCGGTTAAGGAAATTGCTAAGGTTATGGTAACATCAAAGGAATAAAGCGAAATCCACATTTAGAGGACTAAATCGTACCAAGTACAAGGCTTATTCCTAATGAAACTATCATTCTAAGTAGATCAACCCAACTCTACTTTCATTGGAAATAAGACCTCAGCGGTCTCATTCTAAAATCGACATACTATATTCTTTTCAGAGGTTAGGCTCCGTTACAGTAAGTTTTTCGCAGATATTCTTCAGTGTGTTAATAACCAATTGCTGTCCAAGAACTCAAAGACTGCCACTGCCACCATGGACGTGGAATGGAAGAACTTAGAGAAGCTCCTCACACAGGCGATGCATTGTAATGAAGACAGCTACAAAAGTTTTATCAAAGTGGCTGTGCTTGCAGAATACCCTATCATCAACTTTTTCCAGAGTATGTTTTTTTTTTATTATGCTAACCTAGAAATGGAAAAAAGTCACAAGTATACAAGCACTGTAGTTTATTTGTCTGATTTGGGGTTTTGTATCTTTTATGTAGAGTTTTATGCATATAAAAGTATTTGCTGATTTAATTGTAAATATGTATTTACTGACTTTTGTCGTGTCAACCATTAAACAAAATAATTTATTCAGTTGGTGAAAATCCATTTCATAAGGATTCACAGCTGATGGTTGTTTGTATTACATTTAGTAGGGTGAATTAAAGCATGCAGATGTTTATGATACAATCATTCAAAAATCTCAAATACATGACTTCTGTTTATATATTTTAGAAAAACACTTTACTAACCCTTTTATCATGATTATGGATAAGTTATTCATTATGCAGAAGATAGCATTGGCTTCTATGAAGACATGATGGAACAGGCTAGAATGTTTGATGGTGCCGAAGACAGACACTATGGACTTATGCTATCTGCATATGCACAGGCGGTGACCAACATTGAGGTACATAAATAACCATTTGAAATTTTATGATTTGTATGACTTTCTAAATTTATGAGAGATCATACTAGTGTATTATCTCTTTTATTATTGGGTCTGGTAGGAGGTTCAGCTCACAATGAGTGGGAGTTATTGTAAGGAATTTTATATTCATCCCTGATATCGTACGTTTTTTGTACTGTTTGGTTTAAAATTACCCTACTTATTTTATGTAATGTTCTAACATTTACTTCGACAATGTATTGTATTTTTATCTGTAAATTTATATCAGTGCCATTTGTTTTTTTTGCT